GAGCCAGGAAGCCAGGCCCCATTATAAAAAAGATCTATTGCGTGTCTTGTGAAAATAAGCGACAATGAAGCCTAGAGGTTATTTATAGTTATTTATAGAACCTGAATATGTTTTTATAGCAAAGATGTATTTATGAATGCATTCTTATGTAGTGTATTAGCCTATGTATCGTTTACGCGTCACGCCAGGTGTCGCATGACACCTGGTACCATGTGACTTGACGCGGGAATCTTGAATGTAATAAAGCAGAACTCACAACAATGGCGACGAGGATGGTCACATTTTATTACGTTGAATGATAATTTTACGATTTTAAACAACATGGAGCCTCTATGCTCAAATGAAATTGACAATAGTGGTGAGGAAACACGGATTACACGAATGGAAAACGAAATTAGACACTTAAACTCAAAATTTGAAGGACTATGTGAAAATGTTTATAAAATGACAGAAGGATTGCAGAAATTTCAAACAGAATTTATCTCATATATGAGACGTGACCATCCATCCTTATTGGAAAATTCAGCTTCACCCTTGACTCATGCTCAGCAAGGACACATTGAGATAAATGATCCTCATGATGGCGATGCTCCTCCCGGCTCTGATACTTCAACGGAGTCTTCAACTCATGGTTTAGCTGAACGAATAAGTTCAAATGCTGATTTTGCACCAGTCCCGGGGCAGCCAGTTGTCANTTTTTTTTTTTTGTAGCGAAAAAAGGGTCGACAAGAGCGTCGTGGTATTTGGTGGACTGAAGGTCGGACTGGCCACCCGATAGTTGGCTGCTACGTGTGAGTCGAAGTAGACATAATGGCATCGACCGAAATTACCTTTCTTAGATTTGGTAGTAGGAAGCATAGGCCTATCTTTGCTTCATTTTTTTAAACAATTCTGTGAAGTGTTCACAATGCTTTAATTTTCTGAGAGTTCAAATAAAGACACGCTGTTTATTTGATATTTGTTTTTATTGATTGCTATACCAACAGAATGCATGAAATGACCTTAAATAGATTTGGTAATATGCAGCATATATATTCATGACTTTTTACCTTTCTACAAAGTAGGCCCTATTCACAATGCTTTAATATTTTGAGAGCATGCATAAAGACCTGTTGTTAGTTTGATACGTGTTTCTGTGGTAAATAAGTGTATTCAGCTGTGTACTGAAAAGATTTTTTTTTTTGGACTGTTTTTTTTTTCGCCCGCTCGCACCGATTTTGGGGTCCCCAGAGGATGTCATCCATAAAAATAAAAAAAGTGTGGCCTTATTTACTTCATGTACATGGCCATCTAGAAACAATATGGCTTCACGCCCATGGGAGTTCCAAGTCCCACACTGAAAACACCAATACATGTATGTGAAAAATGAACATTTCACAAAAACAAACGTAAAACGAATGTAATCCGGCTTTATTTCAGATATTTGAATCTTTCAATAAGTTTGATAATTATCTTGTTAAATGGCCTTCCTTAAATGGTCACTGTGGCAGCTGCACAAAGCTAGCCAGTCTCTCTCTGCATATGAGCTTCTATACCACAGCTCCTCTGTCAGTGTCTCTGCTGTGCGTTTTCCAAGATTTTTGGCCTGTCCAGCCCGAAAACCTACAATGAAGACCTTCACTACTTGCGAGATGGAATTATACATTGTCTGCCTTGCATTACTTTAGGATTCACTGAAAAAATATTTCAGATAAGCTAACTGAGTTGGACGTGTGCCTTCTGTTAGCTGAATAGGAATTGTACATTTCAAAAGACAACAAACAATTGCTTAGGCAGATTGTTGAAAATACAAACCAGCAAGGATAATATGGCCTGTTATGGAACTGTGGTCTTAATTTTTATTAAATCTAAATGGCAGCAACAACTTAACTTATTTAACAAAAAAAAAAAGGTTTATTTACAAAATAAATAACGATAAAACTTAACTGCCAGGTCACAGGTCCATGGCCAAGGAGTTTTGAAAGATTTGAATGAACCACCCTTTTTATCAGGAAAAGGTCTGCTCTGGGTCAACATTGATCAAAGTGCATGAAGGTTTTATGGTAAATGGTCTACTTTATAAAAAAAAACAACATATTTTAAAATTGCTGGCTACGGGACCGGTTAACCTAAATATGTATATAAGTATTAAAAATTTCGTGGAAAACTGAACTATAAATTCAAGTTGACAGGCTCATTATCCAGAGCAAATTATAGTTAACAGCTATTACCTGCCTTAAGTTAATGAAAAATGTCAAAGATCAGATTGCATCAGTATAGAAACGTTGTGAGCGAGCAATTAGCATTTAACGTACATTTTTGTGAAAGTGCAAAAATATAAAGAAATTTATTTATCAACATGTCAATGCCTAAAATAGATTCACCTTAAAATACTATGACACTCTAGACTAATAAAGCGAAAAAAAATACTCACATCATTTCTGGAGACTTTCAGTTCGTGAATGCTGCATTAAAACATCCAATGGGCTCTGCTTTTGAGGCTGTCGGAGACTTTAGTTGAGCCTGCCTCCTTTGGTGTTCACTGCCAACTGTTATTATGTCTGGATGTATAATAGTGACCGGTATTCTTACATTCAGTTCAGGGCCTATTTTTGCCTGGCTGCTGGCTCCTTGTTGAAACCTTCCACACGTGGCAAGTGCTGCAGTAGACATCTTCATTTCTGACAGTAAGCAGTCAATACAGCCTAAAACGTCTGTAACACTGGCCGAACAGACATTTTTGCATAATATCTTTGGTCCTTTCTTCACTATAACACTGAGCCACACGGCAGGGCCATGATTTTTGACATACCCACTCTCGCTGCTAATGGTAGGCAACACTGTATTTAACCTATTAGCTATAACCTTAGCAGCTACTTTATAATCTACATTTGTAAGTGATAGAGGACACCAGATTTCTAATCATTTCTAGGTAAATCCCTTTTTGGTATCAATACTATCAGCCTTTTTCTTTGTGAACAAGAAAGTTGGCCACTCACAAAAGCAATTTTCATGCAACCAATAAACAATTGTTCAAAGTTGGATTAAACATTTTGTAAAAACATTCAGTCAGATGTGTGATGTTAAATTAAGGCAAAGTGCCCCAGGAGGACCATGCAGACTGAAGTCTATGTACAGCCGTAAGTAATTATTTTGCCATTGTAGTGCGGTTGCGTTTTTAGTTAATGACGGACAAAAGATAATATGTATAAAGGTCAGGCCCGTCAATGTGACTAAAGCTTAATGTACTGTAACTGGCAATGATAGAGCTAAATTTAAGCTTAAATCACATTCACATAATCATGATGAAAACACATAATGTCGCTCAGGATAAAAATAGATCGGTCAGTTTTTTAAAGAGTTTTTACCTATCTGCTGTATCTTATTTTAACAACAAAAATGGAAATGTATCATTTGTAACCCGAGTAGCAGTCCGATTTCTGTTTTATATTAATTTTCATATTTATATATCAATGGCTGAATAGACTCTTATCTTACGGTATAGACATAAACATAACAATGACCGATATAAAATGATTAGTCTGTAATATTATTATTATCTGTAATTTTACAAAGACAGTAGAAGCACTGTGTTAAATAAAATGATGTCCTGAATAATTAAACGCAAGGTTATACACCTGTACATGTAACTTGTCGGCTTGCCATCACACCAATGTAGGCACCGTGTTGTAGCTGGCCACTAATTGCGATACACGGCCATGCCTCTTTTGGTATTGAATCGTATAAATAATATATATATATATATATATATATATATATATATATATATATATATATATATATATATATATATAATTTCATCATATCTCATATGTTCTTCCTTCATATCAGAGAATGTGAAACCATTTGTGTGCTCCGGAACAAATTTGTTTTGAACTCACCATACGCCTTGGCCAATAATTCTTTACAGAGGGTAAAATATTCATTCTTGACTTGGTCTGTAAATATGAACAAAATATATATTCTCAAAGTTGAATAATACACTTATTATTGATGTGCTAGGAAGGGAAAATTGCTTAAAAACAAAAGACCTTCATTTTTTTTTTTTTTCAGATGGCTTTTTTCATCAAAATGTTTAATGAGTAAGAAGCAGGGCAGTAGTTAGACATGGACGCCAGGGTTCTTTTTCATGTATGGATTGACATGTGGATTGTTTCTTTGTTTGTCCGTCTGTCTGTTTGTTTGTTTGTTTGTTTGTTTGTTTGTTTGGTGGAAGGGGTAAATATGGCTACAAACCCTTTTTATTGTGCTTACCTGTGCTTGACCTAGAGGGTTGGAGTGAGGAAGCAAACTTCTGGAACTCGTCCTCTGGCATGGCCCATATCTCATTCAATAACGAGGCATATTTATCCCTGATTTTGTCTGTAATTAAGAAAAAAAGTTTTGTTGAATAAATAAACTTCGATCAAAGTTGCTTATTTGGAACTATAAAAACTAATGCAATATGATTAATAAGTATAATCATCCCGACAGACAGGCTATTTTTTCTCAAAACATTTAGTAGAATAAACACATAAACGGCCCAAGTGTATTAAAAATATCGGATCTGTTAAATACCACTAACCCAGGCATGCGTTCAGCTGATGGTCCTTCAGAGCCTTGAACAGGTCATGGGCTGTTGCTCCAGCCGTCCTTTCTTTCCACAGCCACAGAATCTGGAAGGATTGCTCCTGTGCATTGCGTTGGTTCTCGTACTCTATGTTAACTAGCTTGGCGTCCAGGATACACAGCTGTGCACGTGCCAGCATGCGGACATCTTTGAGAGACACGTGGTCACTTATTGCCATAATCACCTCGCGGAGAAGATGGGCCTGAAAAAATAACATTGATCTTGACGTTCTAGATCTTGACTGAGCATGCTGACCACCAGAAAAAATAATAAAAGAGAAAATTAAAAGGGAAACAAAAACGGAAAATAAAGATAAAAAAGGAAGCACATCATGGCTTTTTCCTGATTCCTTTACAAATGACGAATTATTACATCATTTGACAGTACTTACCTGTATTGGTGGCAAGGCATATCTATGCAGCACTATCTTAACGTGTTCATGGTCCCTTTTTACAGCCATGTCATATGCTGTTTCTTTATCCTACAATATAAAGTTAAGACAAATATTCAGTCGCATCATTTACATAACTTCGATTTTGAGATTTGACATATTGTATTTTTTTCCTTGAGTGCTGTAGAATTAACATGTACAAGAAAACAACAATATGCTTACATCTACAAGGGACACACGTATCTCCAAACAAATATCCAATGATTGGGAAAGGAATCATAATGTGCCTGTATGGTACAATCATCATCATCATGTATGTTACCAACCAAGTTCAGGGTATTTTGCCTATATAATATTTCTATGTGTCCACAAACCTCATTGGTGATATGAGGATCAGCTCCATGCTCCAGGAGATGCTTCACGGAGTCTTTATGGCCGTACAATGCTGCCCCATGTAAAGGAGTTCTGCCACACTGGTAACAATAAATAACTACTATAATGATAATATCCGACGTTGTCTTTCTTCACATTTCATTCATATATTTTATGTGTGCTGATAAAGGCAACACTGAGTTGAAATAATACAAGTTTATATTCAACACTGAAACGCTTCCTTTGCCAATGTGAGCAAACAATCTAAAGAAGGAGAAATCATACAGTGCGTATATAAAGAGGCACTTCAATATTTGCATGTGATGTCCTGCCCCATGTTTTCATTATTTACATTATATTAACTTATTGTTACCAAACAATAATAAGAGCAAAATGTATCAATTCTTTGCAATGAAATAGTTGGAGTATACAAACTTTAAATGTATCAAACCAAACAACTAACTCCAGGGTACTTTGTTTATATAACATTCTATGTCACTTACCTTATTCGTGATATTAGGATCAGCTCCATGCTCCAGGAGAAGCTTCACGATGTCTTCATGCCCTTTATACGCTGCCTCATGTAAAGGAGTCGAGCCATTCTGGTAACAACAAATGATCGGCATAATGATGTCATCCCATGTTGTATTTCTTCACATTATATTCATTTATCTTAATTATGTGATGGATTAACTAACGTTTACATTAAAAAAAGTGCTCAATCTATGTCAGCAGTCAAAAGCTTACAGGGCGAATGTTGACAAATAATCTAATGACGAAAGAAATATCATAATGTGCAAGTATAGATAATAATTGTATTAATGCAAGGAAAGGAAAAGGATTCATTTGCACCTAACTGTTAACGTGTAACACCAGTCCCATGTTTTCTTTCTTTACATTTTATTCACTCATTATAACCAGATAAAAAGTAAATAATTAAACAAACTCATCAATCGTTTATAACAAAATAGTGGAAGTACATGTATACCTTACTTATGTCTATCAAACCAGCCACCAAAGACCACGGTAATTTATTTATACAACAGTACATGTAATGCCACAAACCTGATTTGTGATATAAGTTATTACTTTTGGCTTACTTTTCGTATTGTTTTTAAATGTTAATTATATGATAAAATAAACAAATTTAAGTAATAATTCTAAACACTGTTTAAATGAATCATCTATTCACTAAAATCCAGTGTACATGTATGTTACCAACCAACAAAGGTCATTTTGTGTATATAGTATTATGTGTCCACAAACCTTATCCGTGATATTAGGATCAGCTCCACCTTCCAGGAGAAGCTTCACGGTGTCTTCATGGCCTTTATATGCTGCCTCATGTAATGCAGTTGTGCCCCACTGGTAACAATAAATAATCTCCGTAATGATAATATCTGATGTTGTCTTTCTTCACATATCATTCATATATTGTACATGTATGTAAGGAAAGAAAATGGATTAACTTGCACCTAACTGTTTACGTGTAACACCGCGGCCCCATGTTCTCTTTCTTTACATTGTATGCACTCATTATAACCAGATAAAAAGTATTCAATTAAACAAACTCATAGATAGTTTATGACAAAATAGTGGAAGTACATGTAAACCCTCCTGATGTTTATCAAACCAGCCAACAAAGACCACGGTAATTTATTTAAACAACAGTACAAACCTTATACGTGAGATTAGGATCAGCCCCATGCTCCAGGAGAAGCTTCACGATGTCCTCATGGCCTTCCTCTGCTGCCCAACCTAATGGTGTTCTGCCCCACTGGTAACGGTTACATAAGGAACCATCATGTGTATGTATGGGAAATTAGATATATCAGTGCAGTTATGACCAATAGCTTACTTTTCATATTTTTTAAAAGGCAATTATATAATAAAATAAAATAACAAATTAAATAAATTATTCTAAACATTGTATAATGAATCATCTATTCAGCAAAATCCAGTATCCATGTATGTTACCATATGCAAACAACTAAGGGCATTTTGTGTATATAGTATTATGTATCCACAAACCACATCGGTGATATTAGGATCAGCTCCATGCTCCAGGAGAAGCTCCACGATGTCATCATGGCCTTCCTCTACTGCCCAACATAATGGTTTACTGTCCCCCTGGTAACGGTTACATAAGGAATCATAATGTGTATGTATGGGAAGTTAGATATATCAGTGCAGTTATGACCAATAGCTTACTTTTCATATTTTTTAAAAGGCAATTATATAATAAAATAAAATAACAAATTAAATAAATTATTCTAAACATTGTATAATGAATCATCTATTCAGCAAAATCCAGTATCCATGTATGTTACCATATGCAAACAACTAAGGGCATTTTGTGTATATAGTATTATGTATCCACAAACCTCATCGGTGATATTAGGATCAGCTCCATGCTCCAGGAGAAGCTTCACGATGTCTCCAGGGCACCGACGCATTGCCTCATGTAATGGGGTTCTACCATCCTGGTAACAATAAACAAGCACCATAATGATAATTTAAGCTGTTGTCTTTCTTCACATTTCATTCATATATCGTACATGTACGTAAGGAAAATAAATGGATTAACTTGCACCTAACTGTTTACGTGTAACACCGGTCCCATATTCTCTTTCTTTACATTGTATGCACTCATTATAACCAGATAAAAAGTACATAATTAAACAAACTCATCGATCGTTTATGACAAAACAGTGGAAGTACATGTAAACCCTCCTGATTTTTATCAAACCAGCCGACAAAGTCCACTTTAATTTATTTATACAACAGTACATGTATGTGTCACAAACCTTATTGGTGATGTTAGGATCAGTTCCACGCTCCAAGAGAAGTTTCACGATGTCTTCATGGCCATTTAATGCTGCACAGTATAAAGGAGTTCTGCCACACTGGTAACAACAAATGATCAACATTATGACATCATATGACGTCGTCTTTCCTCACATTTTATTTGTTTGTTATTTGATATCTATAGCGCTGAGACAAAAAAAAAAA